AGTCTAAGGTTTGCACGGGATCCCGGGATTGCAGTTCTGATCCCGATCCCGGGATTTAAGTTTTGAAAAATCCCGGGATTTCGGGATTTGATACAGCAGGTCGATTTGTGTGAATTTTGATAGTATGTCTATCTTGAGGGAAGCCTTAATCATTCCCATCTAATCTATATGCAATTATCTTTGCTGTTCGCCCCCTATCATTGATGTTCAGCAAAGGAAATAGACGCAATTCGGACGATTGACATGATCAACGACAGCTCGATGAACTTTTACGTAACATTTCATTGAATATTCAACTGATTATTCTGCTCTTCATTGGTTTATATCACGTTCATCTGAATGCATTTCTATGTAATAGACTAACAGAGATAATCACATTTTCTAATAAAAACCAAGAGCAACAAAGTTCAATGAAATTTTTAGTCGTTTCTTCCCACAAGATTTATTCGGCTTCAATATTCCCTCTGTTAATTCAACTGCATGTTCCAAAGACCGCAAGTCTTTGTACTTCGTATCGAAATGTACATAAATTCTCACTGAGTTCACTCATAGTGAGAGTTCATTGCCGAAGTGAGCAAAGTTGTTCCATTCAAAAGGATCTTATGCTTGAATATCACGTACATTTGCATGATTTTTGATCGAAATTATCAAATATTTAACTGCTCGATGGTTCGATGAAAATCGATTGCGGATATTTTTTTTACCTTTTTAGACAAACCTCGAACTTTTAATTATTTCAAAATTCAAATTATATAATTCTTACGGCGCATTTCTTCCGTTAAAAAATCGAGATTTCCGAAACGGCAGAATTCAGCTAACGTTAATACTGAGAGAAAATGGTCTTGAAGCATTGCAAATAAGTGTTTGAGAATCAAGAATTTCGTATTCACATACAAGTGTACTCTTATTAGCTTACACCCGAGATGACAAGATGCCTTAGCATAGAATATGCAGTATGCCCTTGCGGCATGATCATTGGCATCATTATATGAAATACTAATTTGAATTTGAATACTTAGTTCCCTGAATTTGTTAAATAATTTGTTGATTTAGCTCCTTTCTGATTAATAATGAACATATTGGTTCGAAAAAATGTGTTTAAACATGTCCCGCAATGATATTTCAATAATTGTTCGATCCCCGGGATCAAAAATCGATCCCGGAATTAAATCCCGATCCCGGTATTGAAAAATCGTCGGGATTTTGCAAACCCTAGTCTAGTCTGATCATAAGTGCAAATCGAAAATTACCGTTCTATTTCTGTCAAGCAATAACTAAAGAATGCAATAATCCTCTGATAATACCAACATTCTCATTTAGCAAGAGCATTAATAGTTAGCAAAATGGATATATTAAGGCTCTTCTACATCTGTACTTGTGGTGCCTAAAAAGTGCTTTTGAATTCAACGTGTTTTTTCCAATCCGTCTATGTGAAAAAAGTTTTGAGTATTCCGACTGAAATTCCATGTTAATTGCATTACTGACGAGTGATGAGTTTGATGTTATTTCAGTAGTTTGATGTTATTTCAGTATTTTTTGTGTACAAAACAATGACAAACATCAGATGAACTTTTTATGCACAAGAATATAGTAATCGAATTCTTGCTGATTAGTGAAGCGAAAAGGAAAACATTCATCAGCAGTAATCTTTTGACAAGTAAGAATTAATAGCATTCAGAGGTTGAAGTCAAATAGTTTAAACAGTGACAAAGACCGCAGAGAAGGATTCATATTAGGTGAGTGACAGCTCTTGAATGTTGATTGCTGCGCGTGATTTTACTTTTACTGGCAACCATTTCGACCCCACTGACCCACTTCTTTTTGGAAGTAATAGAGGTGGTCCTCGAGAGAATCATCGAGTAATTTCGAATCACTACAGCCATAATCTGGCGCCAAGCATACTTTGTATGGTTTTCCGGGTGCCATATCATTATCATACCAGACCTGGAATTATATTTTTGTATAGATCATAGTGAATGGGCATAAATTTTATGGTAGAAATAAAATATTTCAAAGGAAGTTGTACAGTGAAGTATCTCAAGATCAGATGAGTTCTTCTCAAAAATGAAAGAAGTTTTAGAGTGAAACTGAGGAATGAATATTACCCACCTGATAACGATGATGTCTGTAATCTCGATAATCGAGCGGCGGTAAGTGTGCAACCAAGTCACGTGCATGAACAACTCGATAACTGTAAAGTATCTGAAATTGATCATATGATTAGTTTAATGAATGTATGTCTACAACTCAATGATTATCTTAAATCCGACTGATTAGCGGAAAAGACTTTTACTATTCAGGACCTCAAAATTTGGATTAATTTTAAAAAGGAAAATAATAAGAAAACATTTTCTGCATTTCTAAAAGAGACTACATTCTACTCACCATTTCATCATGAACATCGACGTACTGCTGGTCACCAACACGAGGTTGACCGAAGGTGACCAATTTTATAGATTCAGGTTGATGTAGGTGTTGAACAGCGATAACATTAGAGGCTATCGACGCCATTGCAGCGCCAAGAGAATGCCCACTGATCTGAATGGATAAACCAGATACGTTTTAGTTGCTATTTGCTTCAAAAGAATTGACTTTTTATTGGTTGGTAGAGCAAAAACAGTCGATCTATATGCACTTAAAATTCTTACAAAAGCGATCGATTAATCCCTTCTCACTGTTGAAAGACCATTCGATAGAACAACAAAGAGTAATTTTACAGAAAATTTTCGGTCTAGATGTCGAATTCATACCCATAATTCATAATCTGGATTAGCTGTAGTGAGTTCGAAAAAGCTTTCCAGTATACCATTGCTCCAAACAGAATTGAACGCGTCGAAGAAATACTTGCTCACCTTGAAAAATCAAGCAATCACAAATGAATAAGTATTAATCTTTCTGAATGCAACTATTTTGAATAATGAATCAATTGAATCAACTCAAAATTAACCTTCCCACCCCCAGTGATGTTAATCATTGCATCGAAAACTGTCTGTAGGCCTTCAATCCAAAGTTGGTCCTTTGTACTAGTGCCACTGAAATATTATTTTTGATATGAATACATCGCTTCTCTTACTTCTTCGAATTTAATCGAACTATTGAGAATGTCTAACAGAATCGAACTGTCAACTGCTGAGGTATAGATTCTTGTTTAATGACAATCTCGGAGACGCAATTTTCTCAAACTTTACTCATCAATCAATTTCTCCAATTGTGAAATCAGAAGAATTTCTAGATAAAAATAATTTTATTGTTAAGAAAAATCACAAACTCACACACCGAAAACCTAAAATGATTGCGTTATTTTCGGGCGATAAGGCTGTAAACGCTGAGCAAAACGTTGTGTTGGATGCATCACAAGGACATGTTACTTGACGTATCACCTGAAGAATACTTTTAATTCATTTTGTTCCGTGAGCAATTGCTAACTTTTATGTATCCGAAAGTAAATAAATGCTAACTTTTATGTAAAAACCGAAAGTAAATGTAAAATTTTCAGTGCTTGAGTAGCGAAGCCAAATCTGTTGTAAACTCAACTGTTTTATGCAGTAATTGCTGATCGTTTCAGAAGACACAAAGATCCTTTTAGAACAACAACTGCGAAACTTTATTTGAATTGGCTTATTGACATGATTATGCACTTAACGTTATCTTGGCTACCATAAATAATAAAGTATGATTACCGTCATGGTGCTGCACTGATCAGGGATTATGCCTAAGCGAATTCGGAAATACGACGTGAAGTCTACATCATTTCACTACGAAGATGTTTTCAGATTCGTTAAATCCGACGGGAGTGAAGATGTGAACATGTTTCTAACGTGTTTCAGACGATACTGCGTTGATGTTGCTAATAACAATTCATTTTGTTTCTGTGGTCTAACGGATAAGACGTCCCACTGATCAGTTCGATTTTAAAGATTTAGTTTTGCGTTCAGTTTTTCCCAACAATTAATGTTAATTGTACCAACTGACGGTTTTTTTTTTCGTGCTGTGTAGAATCTGCATTTATTTCCGATCATAATGCAGATATCGAATCACGACAAAATATTTTCAGCGAGGATGCTTCAACTACGAAAAGTTATCGCAGTTGCTAACATCACATTCTCTAAAAAAATCTCTCGGAGAACATTGTTGAACACATATTCGAAGTTGTCCTCGATGGCTGTCAGTGTAGCCGTTCGTAAACTATGAAAAACTACGGAATCGGTTAAAAGCAATACTTGTGAAATACTTTATGCCTACTTTATCATACCACCCACCGATGAACTACTCAGCATAATACGGCCAGAAAGATGAAGGTAATCAACTGAATGGTACCAGCAGAAAACTTTATTAAAGGCGTATAGAAATGCAGAATCCGACCTGTAACTTCATTTCGGCAGCCCGTGCCCTATTCACTAGGCCACATGAGCGAGCAAACCAACTTGCGTGCAGTAATACCAAGGTAATATCGATCTCTCCTCGAAATGTTCAGTACAGAAAGCTCGCTCTCCGTCGAGCTTAAGAAACTCAAGAAACATACTCCTGATCATCTTTTTAAGTTCTTCAGAACGATCTATGCCTCATACCATAATATCTGTGGACTTGCTAAAGAATTTTCCCAAGTAATCATACGCTGGATGGGATTTCACCGTAACGCGAGGAAACGTCACATGATGGAAACATGAAGGAGTCAGGATTGATGAGAGTGATTACTTTGGCAGTGGAATCCACTTGATTTGTTAAGCATGCTTGTGGTGCTTCCCAGTAAGCAGCTGCACTTATGGCCAGCATTTTCGTTCGAGCAAATTCATCGCTATACGCATCGCCTTTATGAACAGCTAACGGACAATTGTTTGGGTTGCTAACTTTTGTGCCGAGAAAACAACTGTACCATTCGTCCGATACACATTTATTCCATGATGCACACCACCTGAAATTCTTGCAACATTCAATTCATCGTCCGTCGCCATATAAGTAGCGGAAAAAATTAAGAACTGTTCTTTTGCATCAAAATAATTTTTGACAGTGCTCAAAACCGAGCACTGTCAAAAAATGAATTAATTGCTATCTTCCTATGTGAACAGTTTATTACATGAATTTTGCACCAGTAAGGGAATGAATGAATTTGAAGTATGGCACACACCGGCATGCATTCAGTTGAGTACATTCTTGACAAATCTCTAATTCATCACAGTCCTTGTTAGCTTCAGTAGCCTTATTCATCATCGCTGCTGCCACCAGTATGACGAATAAAGTTTTAAGATTGTACGATTTTGTGGTATACTCTCCTTTCGACTCCATCCTAAAAGTTGTACTTGAATGACGATTTGAAATTTTCTATACTACTTTTTTTAAATATTTTTTCATCTTCATTGTTTGGTTGAATCTACAAAAAATTTTTTCGGAGAATTATAATTTTCGGCAATTACCAATCAGAGTTCAGAACAGTGCAATTTTCGACGTGACCGGACAATTTACCTAAAGACATTTTGCCTAACGACAGTTTGCCTAAAGACACGTTGCCTAACGG